GGGGGGGATTGCTCGGTTACGTGTTCTGGTGATCCGGCAGAGAATTGTGGCGCCGCGGACAGAGTTGGTGTGTATAGAAAAGAAAGGTCAAATTGATAATGTAGTGTCGCTAGTTTTATCCTAGTAGACAGCAGGACAGCTACGACTAATCTCATCCTAGGAATATGCGCATTTAATTGATAATGGCACTTTCCACTGCACTCATGATCAGTTGTTCACTTCGCATTCCAGACAAATTGCATCCTATCCAGCTTCAAACATTGAAGATTTAATCCCAGCTGTAATCATAATCGTAATCCGTGCTCCGATAGGTTCCGTTCTCCCAGTAGTCTTCCGTTTCAGGGGGTAATTGATTCTTTTTCGTCGGCTTCTTTCCAGCCTTGAGAGCTCTCATACAGCTGGGGCAAGCAATGCTACCACAACGGGTGCATTTCATTGCAAACTTGTACCTCACTTCAGTGCAGTGACCACAGGTGTAACGGCCCTCGATCCGGTCCCACCAGCATTTGTGCCTACAAGGTGATTGTGCAGCCGTCGGTATATTATGTACTCCGAAGCTCCCGCATCTGTAACCCGTTGACCCTATGTTGCTGCCTTCAAACCGGTTAGCCTATTTAGCCGATGTACGGGAAAGTACTTTTAATAAAAATTTACCATTGGATGATGTTTTTCTCTTCGCATTCAACTCCTCCAGTTTTCGCTTTGCTTGTGCCTTCGCGGCTTCCCGCTCTGAGTGGACTCTTCTTAAGAAAGCTGCAAACTCATCCTCCTGGGCTTTTCGACGTTCCTCTGCTTTCCGTTCCCGCTGCTTTCTGGCTTCTTCAGCTGCCTTTTCTCGAGCCAATCTCTCCGCTGCCATTTCTCGCTCCCATCGCGCAGCCGCTTCCTGGGCTTCCCTTTGCTTCCTGAGCCTTTCGGCCTCTTCTTGTGCCCATCTCCTCCTTTCTGATTCCTGCCACTGTTTTATACTCTCCGCATTTTCCCGATCAAGTCTAGATTTTTCTACCTCTTCTTGTTGCTTCTTGAGGCTCTCGAGTTCCTGAACCTCCTTCTGCACCTTTGCCAACTTATCTAGCTTAATCCTCTTCGCGGCCATTCGTTGAAACTTCTCATTAGCCATGTGCATCTTTTCGTCTTCAGTCATCTTAGGTTGCATCGTGAAGACCCTCCACCAACTGTTCTCTAGACCCTCTTTCGCGAGATCTGTCTTGTCCTGATTATCGAGAGTTCGTATTTCAGCCTCCAGTTTGGTTACAACCTTTTGAGCTTTGAGTATGTTGTCATTGTTTATTCGTTGCCAGCGGAGATAGTCCTCCCGCTTCCGTTTCGACTCCTCGGTTCCTGTTGTGGCCTGTTGTGCTGGCTGCTCCCCAAAGTTGTCATAGGCAGACCCGCGGGCATTCGAGTTTGCGGTAGTATTAGCAGACGGATTTGTAGTCGAATGAGATTGTCTGTGTGTTGCATCGTACGCGTTTCGCTTCGTTTGATCTGAGAGTATTTCCCATGCAGCTGATATCTAATCGAACAAACATCAGTTAACGTGAGGAAGGAATTATAGGGGAGTTACGCGTTGGAATCTCTCTGTTGCATCCTTCCGATATAGGTTCTTGTCTGGGTGATGCTGTAAAGCAAATCGCCGATAGGCTTGTTTTATCTCCGCAAAACTTGCCGTTCCAGATACCCCCAGAGCCACATATGGATCAAGTGTTGGTGGTGCCATGCTAATTGCTGCTTTTCGCAAAGTGGTAGGGGAGCGAGGAAAATTTCACGTAAACGCGGGGTTGCTGTTAATGTTACACGACGTTACCGATGTAGCACAGCAGTAGTTATCTAACGATAAACGAGATGTATAGGTGTATTCTAGTATGAGAAGGACAGTAGATGGTATATACATGAGATAGGACCGAGGGTTAAAAGAAGTAGTTCAAAACCACTGCGACATGCTATGTTTAGAGCTGCAGATGTGCTGCACACAAACTGGTCGTTCAAAAGTCTGCTGAGCGCCGTGGCTGAGATTTCTTGTCTGATGCCGGGCGTCGAATTTATCTACAACCAAGCCCAAGCACACAGGCAGTCCGTGGTGCAGGCTTCAGGGCATTGGGTCGTGGCTCAGCATGGCCATCTCGCCCGCGACTAAGATGCAGCAACAGACGGGGCTGTACATGGGCAAGTCGACGATCGTGCTTAGGATGGATCTGTTTCCGGCCTCAAGATATAGATGACGTATGTAAAAATGTTTCCCCGCGCGGTCGGCATTGCCTGGCACTTGCAACAATTCTAGCCTCGCCGCCGGCACCTCCAGCCCGAGTTTCACAATGCCAACACGCCCTGCCACCAGTACCATTTCCAGGCCATTACGGGCCTGCTAGGCACGGTCTTTGCCGATGAGCTAGTCGCCGCATACCCGGAAGCCAAAGTTACCGTGAATCAGCAGCCCGACATCGACGCCTGGTACCAGGGCAATAGGCACGCCATGGTGCCTATCAGATATGGCTGAGCCGAGATCATCCGCCGCATCTTCGAAACCCGTACCTTCTGATACTACCGCGCTTTCTGGGACAAGACCTAGTTCCACTTCTACGACGGCGGCGATTCGAGCAAAATGACAAGCGCCATTTTCGCGAGCAGTACTCCCATCTCACGGAGCTGTTTCTGCTTGAAAGTCGGCTTGGTTTATGCGTGTAGGACGGATGGGAGCACCTGTGTGCGTTTTCTAGGGGAGCCGGTGCCTACCCGCCCGTTCCTGAGAGTAATACGCCGGACTAAGTGGATGAGACGTACGCGACTATGCACGCGCCTATGATACGTCGGGTGAGGAGGACCATAGCCATTTACTTGCGTGTTGTGGTTGTTGTCACGGCGTCGTGCAGCAGGTTCCTCAAGTGAGCCGAAACAGTGGGCAAACGCAGAGGTGCGGGCTCACTTGCAGTTGCGGCATTGAGTGGGGCGGAAAAATAAATTCTTTCAGTAATACAAGGGCTCCTGGAGAGTCTCCATGGTGTTGGGAAACGGCCAAAAATGGTCGGTTCAGCGATGAAGATGGGGGAAGGTCGTTCTCTTCATGCTCGCTCATTAACAATAGTCGCACCCTCGCTGCTAGCAGCTTCTTGTATTGCTACTATCTGGATCAACTCTGTCATATCGTCAACATGGACGCCGAGGTTGTTAGGCGTTCATTTGCCGTCAAAGATGATCAGGGCTGTATCGACACAATGACGCTACTCCCCGTCAACACAAGCTAGTAAGAGCAACAGACGTATCTCGCTTTCATTTACTTTCTCGCTAGAAAAGAAATTGCAGCAACTTTCACGATTATTGTGTCTGCAACGGCATGATCAGGGGCATCGGAAGAGTCTTTGGCAACTGGAGACGCGTTTGAGAAGGTGAGGTGACTATAAGTGCTCTACATCAACCTTATCTCAGGCAGTACACTCTCCCCTGTCTAGTTCATCCTGCTTTCATCCTTCAATGCTTATATCCCAAGAAAAATAGCCTAGGGTTGCAGAAACCCGGACGCTTTGGCTCGCTCGGCGTAGTGCTACATAAGCGTCGGCGTTTTTGTCAAGTTAAATAATTTCGAAAGTTTTCCTGGAAAAGCGTGCTCCTTGTCATGAGCGGCGTCTGCCGTAACTACCTCGAGGATATATACTTCTTCTGTCTTTCCGCAGACTGCGGCACACTCGCTTGAAAGCCTAGAAGGGCAAGCAGCATCGAATTCCTCGCGCCAGCTTCATATTTTTAAATCCTTTTTCCTTAACCTTCCCCTCAGCAAAACAACTGACCAACAAGACGATCTATACAGTAATCTCCCCCATATTCCCCTATCGCTTTCGTTGGAAGATATAGGCTCCAATCGTCTTCTTCAATCGGCGATACTGTATTAAGAGCTTTTACGTATTCCCAGTATTCTGGATAAGCTCCGCCTAGCTCCCAATCAACAACACCGGTTACTTCCACAAGCCCATTAGTCCCAATTTTGACCATGATATTCCGAGGGTGTAAGTCGCCGTGTGTCATTACGATCCGATGATCTGTCCGAAGGAGGGAGCCCAGAAATTGAATATAAGTCTGGGAGTACCTTATTATAGGTCCCGAGAGTAGGAATTGGTTGAAGTCGGCCTCATTTTGTATGGTACTTTGGCTGGAACGCGTGAATTTCCTGGTGTCTTTGCAGGAAGGGATGTTACCTCCACCAAAATAGGTTGAAGGCAGTGGTAGAGACCTTAGCTTCTCTAGGGTAGCGCTCAATTGCCTCTGGACTGAGCTTTTTTGCTCTTTAGACAAAGAAGACCAGAACTTATCCAAAGAGTTTCCTTCGAGGAGGGTCATAAATATGTAGGTGTGATGATCGATAGATATCGCACCGAGAGGGCGAGGTAGTGGTATGTCTTTTGAAACTTGGTGTATATAGTTCATGACATGTGCTTCGTCGCAGTCTAGACCAAGCCCGTGCTTTACAATGGTCTTGTTGTTGAGTTGAACAATATTCCGATCGCCGTACTGTGAAAGCGTTGTTCCTTTCTGTAGAGTTTGCTCAAGGTCGGAGACGAAGGTTGGAGCAGATACTAGGGTGTCTGCTGATGAGACCTGGCCCAGGCTAGAGGTATCGATGATCGCTTTGACCTCAGGGGCCAGTTCCAAGTGTATATGAACTTGGCTGGGAGAAGTGGCAGCCTCCGTGGATTTTTCAAGTGGCGTTTGAGATGTGTTTGGTACGGGCTTTTGGCGCTTTGATGGTACTGATGTTTTGTCTAAAATTAACTAACATTATTGATAAGCTGGAAGATTAGGTGGCTAACCTTGAGAACTGGAGGATGACCGCTTTTTCCTCAATTTTTCGCGCTTATCCGGGTACGATTTGCATACTTCTCGAGCAAGGACGAAAGGTCAGTCGTGGGGTTCATTTCCAAATTCCTCCTGAAGGAAGACAAGACCGCTTCACTTAGACGCCGGATCTTTTCATCAACCTCTAAGGATGTCAAAGTCGCATCGATCTTTTGATCGTCTGAGACATTGCTCTGGCGTTTTCAGAGCACCCATTTCATTTCCGAGAGCTGACAGCATTTCCTGAAGATAGTGTGCAGGAGGGCATTGAAGTCGGTTCTTTGTGAAGTCAGGCTCGGTCTGGAGGGCATTGTAGTCAGTTCCTTATGAGGTCGGGCTTGGTTTCATAAACTTACCGATTGTATTAGTCATCGCGGCAACGGCAGATCCCACATTCCGCGCCGTTTCAGATTAGCGCCTTGGCGTCAGTGGGAAAAGACGCTTTGGTTCTTGGTGCTTGCAACAATGCATCCAATGCGGCTTCTGCCGACTCACCAGTGCCACCAACCCCCAAGCTCCTGAGAACAGACCGTATTTCGCATGTGACAACACAGACGAGATGCAGAGGCCTAAAAGCCGTGCATGGCGCTCGTACCGCGCAATCATCTCGTTAGCGGCAGCTGCCGCCCGTGCCTGCGTCAAGACCCTTGACTCCAATACTGCACTGGCCCTCACAACTACGTAGCATGGATTTTCTCCTTGTGAGCTCTTTATGATTAACCCGGCGAAGGACGGATTTAGGGGCATATGGTCTTGTGTAACGTCGCGCCTAGGCTCAGGAGGTCGAAAAAACTCAAAAACTAAATCGAACTAAGTAGTAACCCAACCTGTACGAAAGCTTAATTTAGTAATATCAAACTAACATGATGACTTGACTCTCGATCCACCAAAGTCAAGTGCGATATTGAGGCGCTGGTGGCGGAGTGCGGGTTTGTGCATGGTCACGTGGTGAAGACCCGTGGGACCCGACTTGAGCCTGCCCATGACAAACACTTCCGCTTGCGACGCGCTTTGATTTAACTAGATCTCAGAGAAATAAATGCGCAGGATAATCACCTACGCAGCCCCTAGGGAATGCCACGTTTTGTAGGCCTCCAAAAGAGAGAAAAAGACGATTTCCTGTCCTGGCGTAAAAGCTGTGAGAAAGCAGTTTCGTGAACATGTGATATAAGTTCTACCAACGGTCTCAGCTCACCTATTTCAAAACCTTAGCCCTGATCATACTATCAGCCTCACCGAACATATCCTGTAGCCGATGTATTTTCTACAACACAGCGCTCATCAAAACCTTTCACCAGATACTTCACTTCTTCATCACTCATCCTTTGAGACGGCCCCCGGTGCTCGCCATGAAGCAAAAAATTCGGATGGCCGAGCTGCGGACGCAGAAAAAAGAATACCGTCCACCACTATAACACAACAGAAAAGAACACACAATGACAACAACATCCCCTTCAACAAGAACGCCTCAAAAGCACCACCTAGCAAAACTCCAACCGTTGAATTAAGAACTAACACTGCGGCAAGGGATCGGACTGGAAGTTGGTAGTTTTGAATAGATCCGATGTGGGCGAAGAGAATCCGCCTTTTGGTTCCTTGTGTGAGAGCTTTTGTCTAATGGTTCCGAATATGCTTTGATTCATGTTGGTATCTGCAGTCTGAGGATTTGAGGTGAGTGTATGGCAGAAAAAGGTTAGATATACACCTTTAGAGATGACAGTAAGAGCGAGTAGTATGGATAAAAAACAGCTGCGCTGTAGTTCTTGGATAAACTAGTCATAAGAACAAGATTTACATCTCTTCCGTTGGCACGATCTCCAGAACACGAACTCTGCCTTGTAACCGCTAGACAGGGATCTTTAAAAATGGAACAGCTGTCAAACGTGCCACGCCTGCATGCAGTCGCAATATCGTCTTGCCATAGGCGAGGGTTAAGTGACTCACTTGAGTGGGTTTGTGTGTGCATGAGGGAAAGGGAGAGGGGAGGCTGTGTAAGTTTCAAGGTCCTTTAATGAGGCTGTATTCGGGGACTTAGGCTCAGCCTTGTCCGAACCTAGGTAAACCAGACGGCACCCAACTACCTACCGAGTCAAATTCCTGTCCACTCTAACGCGTTTACATCCTGTCAGCCAGGATCACTCCGGTAACTCTCGTTTTTTCAGCCTTATTACAGTCAGTTGTTACACTACAGCCTTACCCCTTACACCACACGTTTATCCACTGCAAGAGAATAAGGATCTTAAAGAGAAAACGTGTTCTTTTAGATAGCAGCATATATACCTCCATAGGTAGTAGTAATTTAGGTGGACAAGCGGCGTCCAATTCCTCGCGCCTAGCTTCACACATCCTTTCCGAAGTAATGACGTGTCGGCTGTCGCTTTTGATTCAGTTCCTTGTCAAGTTATCTCTAGGGTGCATTATATTACGTAGAAGCATTTTTTCCTCGCTCCAGGTTATTGTGGTTCGTTCTCACGCTTAGGCAATCGTCTCGTACGCATATCTAGCGAGATTATAGTTAAGTAGTCTAAACGACGTCCGGGTTATTGCTACCTCGATATCTAGCCACGGTTCCCGCTTATACTTCTGGCTAGGTGAGGTCTTTCCACAAGCTAAGCTCAAGGGATACACTAAAACTGATGAATCACAACGTAGGATTTAATTTCGGACAAGCCTTCCGCGCGGCACGGTAACAACGGCAGAACAAAATGACGCCAGGTCATTAGTGAGCGGCGTCTTCGTCGATCCATCAGATATTGGTATGGCCACTAGGAAGCTCTTCCGCAGCGGCCTGACAAGCAGTCATTGACAATAAACTGGGTGCTGCAGAAACCGGAATGACCAATCGGGCACAAGGGCTGCCAAAGTAAGCGACGAAAGCGAGTATGAAAGCGAGGATGGAAGCGAAGAGGGTAGCGAAGATGGAAGCGAAGATGGAAGCGAGGATGGAAGCGAGGATGGAAGCGAATATGGAGGCGAATATGGGAGCGAGGGTAAAGGCACTTTCGCTCGGCGTAGGAGAACAGGACAGTGGGTTGTTCCAGGAACCGATGCTCGACACTTGGATAAACTATCATTTATACGTTGAGGCTCATAAGCGCTAGAAAAGTGCTACGGACTTAAGTAACGTTAGATCATTCGTTTTTATATAGTTACGAGGTAGAATGAACAGGAAATACTATATGTCCTTTAAAACCCCTGTCGATAACTGATTTGTATAAGGCTATACACTAGAATTCTTCAAGGACGTTGGGAAAAAGATCGTCCAGAATAAAAACAAGCATCGGTACCTGTTATATTGAGGGTAGTAACCAATAGCATTTGATGTTTAATAGCGATCGTGATGATAGAAATGGCTGAAGACCCTATCACATTCTAGCCTAGATAGTTTCTGCCCAATAACGGCTGCGTTGCACTGTTTAGTCCGTACGTTATTACTCTAACCTTACACGTTGCGAATGTGGAGGGGTTTATTTGGAACGTCGTTTATCTTGATGTGTCAGGGAAGAGCAGCGACTTTGCCGAGGTATTTGCGTGTATACTGTAGTACACCTAGCAAACATTGCATACGGGGCACACCTAGCGCGATTAGTATACCCATCTCACCTATATCACCCGTCTTTTATTGCATATGCAGCAGCCTGCAAATAATGTCCGTTATAACCGTAATAGCTTTCTGGCGCAACTATCACCTGAGGTTCGGACCAATAGCTAGTTAGCTCTGTCAGCCCTCACATTCTCTATCGCAGACCCGTGAACAAGCGTTCTTGTCTGATAAGATACCACCACTCGAGAACATTTCGTTTGAGAAACAACTTTGCTTGCTGGAAGGGATGATGCGAGATGTAAAGACCAGAGCAACGGGACTACATAAAGAGGTAGGTAGTCAATCTCAAAATTCGCCGCTCGACTAATGTTTCTATATAGGGCGCCTCACGTCAGCATTTTCAAGCAAGTGATCAGTACGACAGGCGAGCAGGTGTTCAAGACTGGACCTGCGATTTCGACCTGTCCGCTTCTGAGAACGACTCCAACCATCAAACATCTAGCCATGGGCAGATACATGTACCTTCTGAAATTGTCGGCAAGCAGGCAAAGGTTCGTGCCGCCGCGAAGCTCCTAAGAGATTTTGCTGAGGTGGTTACGCAATTCGAAGCTCTCCATATCAGAGCCGAAATTCCGTACGCTCCAGGAGCTACAGCTAGCCTTACAAGAGGCGAAATAGAAGGAACACTCTTACTGGCGCGTATAAGGGATGGAGGGACTACCGCTGTGTTGCGGTATCCAGAGCCTACGGTTCAGCACTGCACTAGTTCCGGGGTTCAGTCACCAGATTACGAACCTTCCGACAGAAAGATTGATCTCGATTATACGGTTTTGGGGCATGTGATGCAACAGGCCAGAGCCCTCGTAGGCGGAGAGAATGCAGTATAAATGTACGGGATACAAGATAGAGGTTTGACCGGCAGTTCAAGTTGATCCTCATACTCCGATCTGGCTACTATTGTTTATGCTATCAGACGTGAGTCATCAGAAGTGCGGAAAACCACGAGTGTTCCCCATATGTGGATATGCATCACCGTTTTGAGAAGTTCCACCCGGGCTCGCCCGAGCACCTGCACTGGTGATGCTGCTAAACGGAGGCTGTACTTTGTTCTACTATTACAAGCGAGCGCTTGAATTCTCACTCAGCATGTATACTTGTAACAGACAGTTACTCCTTTGAAATCCAATCGTGGCGTGACCACTTCACAGCCGTCAAATCCAATAAGTTTGTTAACGTTAGAGATATTAACACTTTAGTTTCATGGGCTGTGCGAGTGGTAGGGATGCGGCTGAATTGTGCAATAGTAGCTACTTAGCAGGCTACTATACATGCTATACTGAGAGTCTAGTGTTCACTTGTAGTAATGGGACACAGTATCCGGGTTATGGTTTGTCAACCATCACCACTATAACCATATTGTCTCGCTTAGCACTAACCCTGTCATCACTTTGTGTCAGCCAGGATCACTCCGATAACACATGTTTCTCAGCCTCATTATTTAGTTGTTACACAACAGCCTTACCCCTTGCACTACTCATTTATCTTCTGCAAGGAAACAATGATCTCAAAGAGAAAACGTGTCCTTCTAGTAGTATCTTATATACCTCCACACTAATTAGTTGGAGCTGTTTCGGCACGGTGGGGTTTTCGCCACGCAGGGAGGGACGTTAGTGTCTGTTTCCTCGTACTGATTGTATGAAGACATCTTTGCTACATTTTCAGAGCCCATTTGCTTGTTAAAGCCCTTTGCGTCGCATGAATCGCGAAGACTCTTGAGTTGCAAGAGAAAACAACACGCTTGCAGTTCTGTTTAGCCCTGTAGTGCAGGTAGGCTGCAGGCAACAAAGACCTACCCTCTTCAGAAGGTAGACACTACATTCTGCACCTAGAATGCTAACATACTGTACGTAGCGCACCTATTATATGTCTTCTACAATTAACCGCTTTGTATCTTAATAGTTCCTATCACATCCATAAGATCTATTAATCCTAGCATGTGTGTAATGCGTGGCATACATGGCATACATGGCGTACATGGCGTACCCAGCATACCTATTTTTTTGTTGGCTTGGAGCAGCTTGAAGCGGAGAAGGTATGGTCGAATCGGTGGGAGAAAAAGAAAGGTGCTTATTTCCTCATGATTTGTTGCTAGCAATTGCTTTATATATATATACATCGCTACCTAGAATAACACGTGTGCTTTTCCGGAAGCGTTTTCCCTTGTAGTTGGTGGAAGATAGTAGTATAAAGGGCTAGGTTTATGTGTAACCTTCAACAGCAAGGCTGAAAACGTGTGTTATCTTAGAGGAATCTGGACAACAGGCGAGGAATAGGCTACCTACCGCCCTCTCTAGTCTACTTTTCAAACACGCCTCTCTCTACAATTAGGGACGAATTTTCGGTGTTTTTTTTTTTTTTTTTTTTTTTTTTTTTTTTTTTTTTTTGCCGTCACCTTACAGTTTCTGGGGAAGCTATGGACCAGGCAATCTGTTCTGTTAATATCCTGCCATAACTTGTAAATCCCTACACACCAATAACATCTTTTAGCTGACTCTGGAAACCTTAAAGGTAATTCCTCAAGTCTAATCATTCTGTAGGGGACGCCGTTCCATTCTAGGCCATTGGCTTGCTCGGACAGTAGGGAGGTCTGCCGTAAAGTAAGGTTTACAGGCGCGGTAACGTAGGCATTTTTGTTATTGGTTTTCTAATACTCCAAAACTGCTCGCCGTTTGCTTTCCCTAATCCAATATAGAGCGCAAGCATAAAAGTCGAAAGATTAATGATCTGTTTTATTACCTAGCCTAGCCAGTAGCTTTCCACAATCTTGATCACTGAAACCTTAGAGTATACGAGCTAGGCCCTCCAGTGAGAAGGGTCTCAGGAATTCTATTTCGTCTTTCTAATTTAGGGAACAAAGAAAATCCTTTATAAGGATCGATAGAGAAGATATTAGAAATTACCAGTTATTGGGAAGCCAGTTTAGGCGTTTGGGCTGTTTATAAGTTGCGCATCTCGTTTAGCCTTACGATGGATGTTGTTGGAATATATAGGTCACTCAAACCTGCGCATCAAATGCGCGGGCCCGCCTTTTGGTTCAACAGATGCATTTAACTCAGCGCAGTATACCGATACTACATAGCCTTGCTTAGTGAGTCATATGGTAATTTTGTTCATGGTTGGAGAACTTTGTAAGCGACGAATGAGTATAGATACCCCGCAATGTTATTAAAATATAGTTATGCAGCTGGCGCGCGGGGATTTGATGCTGCTTGTCTTTGTGAATTCTTACTGCATATGGTAGTTTATATGCTGTTATATAGAAGAACATGTTTGTTTTTCTGTTAGTACTATCTCTTTGCGGTGGGTAAACAAGAGTAATGTTCGTGAGTAAGGCTGTCTTGTAACAGCCAACCGTAAAGTTTAAAATGTGTATTATTTCGGTGATAGTGACTGACACTACTGGTTTTTAGTCAGATAAAAGAGCCTGCTCAAAAAAGGAACCTATAGATACAATAAAAAAACTCATCCCGTAATCATACGAGATCACATTCATTACATAATAGGTGACTAGGTACAAAAGCCACCGTAACTTACTTGGATAGCACTTTATTAAATAAAGTATATATAGGCAGTCAAACTCCCTAGATAAATCAACATCTATCGATATTGCGTGTCATGGAATCTCCGCAAACCTATGTCCTGCCTAAGGTGGACCCAGAACGTAATCCAGCGCCGGCCCTTGCCTCCATTGAGGAGAAAGCACGTAACAATAGAAGGAGATCGTTGAGAAACTACCACGGAAATAGAAATCGATGGTTAGAACCTACAGCTAATAAGAAACCTGAACGTATCGGCGACGAAACTTCCGAAAGCGATGAAGAACCTCAGAGTACTTATACCAGTAAAGAATCCGAAGGGTTATTTAAAGGACGGTACGGTCACTTAACTGAAAAACAAAAAAAGGCTTGCGAAGAGCTTCTAGCTATAATGAAAAGAACACCCTTCATTGATCTCGACCGACCCACTTCATTAAGGTACAATAAACTACTTTACGAGAGCACTATAATTCGAAATTCATCTGTAGGTGTCATGAAGTTTTACAAAACATACAAAGCTGCAATAATTATAGTGGAGAAATGTAAAATACTAGACAGAACAGATAAGATGAGAAAATTTTTTAAAGAGGTTGAAAGAATCACGCTTGAAAAATATAGAAAGACGCCTTTTATAGCTTTTTATCAAGACATTGTGGTGCCGAAAGAAACAAACGATGAAACGATAGATGAGAAAGCTGATAGATTGTCTAGAGTGTACGTCACGGGCATGAAAAACATTAAGGAAGCAAGGGCAGTTGTATACAATCCAGACCTATATAAGAATCCCAATAACGCAGAAAAATTAAAAGAAATGATGGCACCGCAAAAGGATTGGGATTTGGCTGAAAGATACGTTGAACTATGGAAAGAGATAATAAATTCAAAGGAACTCGTTACGGACGATGTCAAGTTTGAAATAAATACATTGTTTGGTCCATTATTAACTGAGCTTCGCAGATGCAAAGACAAAATAGAATAGGAAAAGGTCCTAACAAGTTTGCTGGATGGCGTTTAGTTTCAGCCTCACAGTTAGTTGTTACACAACAACCTAACTCCCTTACATCACACGTTTATCTACTGTAAGGAAATAAGGATCTCAAAGAGAAAACGTGTTCTTTTAGATAGCAGCATATATACCTCCATAGGTAGTAGTGATTTAGGGGGATAAGCGGCGTCCAATTCCTCGCGCCCAGCTTCACACTATTAAAAAAAAAACTTGTCAGTTTCGCCGAAATCAGAATCACATTGTGCCAACTACCCTTTGTTTACTTCGAAGGCTGTCTCAATCCGTGGTTGGTAGACACAGAATTGCCTCCTCTACCATCCCCAAAAACCTTTTCGTACGGAAGTACGGCTTTCCACGGATCCCACAGTGGATCATACGGGAGAGTTAAATCTTTCCCCCTTAATTCACAAGCATGTAGTGTTTGGTTATCGGTGTGGCCTCTTTTGCCATTAGTAGGGCTTCGGTTTGTTCCGTTCATTGCCTGCGGCCGAGGGGAACTGAGGATTCCCATGGGGACTTTGTATCGTTACGGAAGCTGGAAAAATAGTCCTCGTGGCCAGCTATAAAGTAACAGCTAGTAATACTTATCTGTGAAAGTGCCGATTTCGTGGAGTAGTTGTAGTTAGTGGAGCTAGAGTAAAAGCCGAAGCTGCAAAACTATTTATAGTGGAAAGCGGCACTTATTCCTCTCCCAGTTCGTTGCCTCGGGTATTACGCAGTTTCAATGACAGCTACTCAGCTCGTCGCCGGCGTCATTTCAATCCAACTGAGTCGAAGTAATTTACTAAAATCCGTCGCCCCGGGCAACAGAACTACGTAGCATCAAAAGGCTCTAGTACTATTGGCTATCGTGCTAAGTACCGAAGCTAGTTGGCAAATGGAGGACGAGGAGGTGCGGGGGTCTTGTTAAATTTATCCACGTCTTGTGAACTCGATTTATGATCTGTTGATCTGCGTATACCTGTTAACCCTCACATAGCTATTAACAGTCATCATTTCCTTACCCTAAAATTCTTAGTGGCTTGGTCCTCACAACACCGTCAAATTTGTCTTAGTTTTTCGTGAGATTCTCCAAGAGAGCACCTCACTGCGCAGTATCTTGTGTGGACATATTTCGCAGCTAGCCGCTCTAATAATCCAGCGTCATCCACTTTTCGTATGGTCCAACCAACCAGCAAAAATAACCATGGTAGACCTCTTTCAGCCAACCCCCTTCCCATTGTATATTAAATACTGTGCGAGACGTGTGTGATGGAGATGCCCTACACACGTGACAGAATTTCGCGTTATTTTTACAAGCTAAAACGTGGACCACCTGGCCGATTCATAAAGTTTTTGCAACTGAATACGTAATGCGCAGAGCCAAATCACACATCTGTCAACCGTCGCTAACACAAGTAGGCGCAGGGATTCTGTACGTGCTATCGTGGCTGAAGTGGCTAAGGAAGGTGTCATAGAAATGTTGACGGCGTCGTTACCCGTTCATATTATCACTATTAGCATATTGGCCTCTGTTTGTACTACGTTGTAAGACAACCCATGCTTGGCGCATATGTGCTGCTGGTCCAATGATCTGAGCGAAGATGTTAGAGTGAGGGAGGATTATTGCACATACAACCGCAGCGCCTAATATGGTGACATGCCCCTCACCAAGCACCAAGGACTAGCGATTTTCTCACTTTCAGTGATCCTTAGTTCTTCAGAATGGATATTGCAGTGGCATCGGTAAGTCATAGTAGCTCTTTCGTTTACTGCATCCTAGACAGTAATGCCTACGGGGGCTGGAGCCCACATAAACTCGACATCAATATCTAGCGCGTAAAATTTCTGTACGCTTCGCCTAATCTCGTGCTTTGCAGAGCTGCGATGAATTGGATCAGTTATTGTTAAGTGGTGAGAGATTGTACTTTAAACTTTACAGTCTATGAAGCAAACGTTAGGTGTAAGGGATGGCTTTGCCGCCTTGCCGTCAGTGTAGGTTAAGGCGTTCTCGATTGGGCGATTCGGTTCGATTTTAGATGAATTGCATGTACCGATCATGCATGATAACCCCGGTGCCCTGCCCTAGTACTAAGAGCTGCTTCGATCCCTCAATTCCATCTTTGGTGGGGCGATAGCTTCATCTATAGCGTTGATAGCCTTTTCCGGCAAACGATCGTGGGGGGCCAACGCACGGATATTTTAATGACGTGATAAACCAATCTCCTGCGGCGCAGGAGAAAGCGGCTGCCAAGGGTGTGGGGCATGCATTTCTACATAGGTTTTTGCCTGCAACTAAGCTTCACCGAGAACCAAAAGATCTGCATACTTCATAAGGTAAGCGCTATTACATATAACCCACCTAACTAAAGAAGCAAGCACACCTAGCATAGCTATTACGTTATAGTTCAGTTAAGCTGCTTTGCGACTTAGCGATTTCTAACCTAATATATATTGTTTGGAGAGTAATTCCAATATACCTGGCATACCTAGCAGTGAAGTGTGGGGCAGCCACTCAATCACATGACTCGCGAAATTCCTGCGGCGCAGGAGAAAGCAGCTGCGGAAGGAAACACCTACAGATCGGTTCTTCACTATAGTCGCCTCGAAGACAGCACAAAACCTAAAAGCAGAAAAACTTTTGAGAAAAACGGTGATGGCATCCACCAGCAGTCAAAAGGGGGGAGGGGTGTGGAGCTGGCGTTTACAACGGCGCGATGCGATCGCGCCGGTAGCCTCGATTGCCAAACCCCAAATCTACAGGCCTGGCTGAACAGCTGGCTTTGTAGTAATGACAATTTCCACCTTACCGTATTGCGATGTCATCTTTGGGGTAATTATGTTCTCAGGCGGGTGACGTGGCGTCTGTTCGGATGATAACAATAAACGTACCCATTCCCGGTCCCGTCCAATCCCGACCTAGTTTACCAATACACTAGTATACCCATCAGATCGAGCTTACCCAACAGGCACAGCATAACCAGCATACTCGGCGTTCGGACATATCTAGTGTCTCTGGTATAGCCAACAGTAAGAACGAGGTAGAAGAACCAGTGCGTCCTTTACAGCCTACCGACAGAGGGAAATCTTCCTGGCTCAGTACATCTTAAAACAATACATATTTGGCACAAATAATCCGGAGCACAGCCAACCCCTTTGCCTTCCTGTTGAACAGTGCGAGAAAGCTGGACACTGCTGTCGCATTAAATTAAGTGAAACTGTCTGCTTAAATACACGACCTCCCTGGGTAGAAAGGTGACTATCGTTCCACTAATAGGAGAGAATGGCATGATGTTGAAAAAGCAAAGTGATGACAGGGTTCGTGCTAAGCGAGATAATATAGTTATGGTGGTGATGGTTGACAGAAAAGAAAAACAAGCTATGGCCTGTAGGTTTTCTGTCGGCTTAACTGTATCGAAGGTGGGCATTATATCTGCTAGTCACTTAAAAGACGGTTTTCACTCTAATAGATTGCTTTTTCCCATCCACCGATCCATCCAGTCTGTGTTAGAAGCAAGGTAAAATTCCACAATGCACGATAAACATCGGGGAAACGTGGTCCAATAAGGATATGCCATGTGTTAGTGCATCGGCGCTGCTACATTTCCTGTCTAATGCAGTTATGCGCATGCGCGCTTGAGTTGCTGCATGAAGTAGAATTAGTATTTTGCAGCAGAAAGGTGCTGAACATTTAAATTCCAAATATGTCTACATATACTGTCGACCCATAGAGAGAAAATTTGCAGATTAGATACAACGGGTCACAATGGATGACACTTCTTGCGAAGATTTTAGTCCAAATCGCCTCATAAGGGAGTTCTTATGCGAACGGGTCCTAGTTTTTAAGGAACTCGCGGCTCTGAGGGACGAAGTAAGTGTCAAAAGTCTCGAGATTGTTTCTTCTCTCACTATTTCAGGGTTGGGCAAACCCCTCAGGAGATGATTACTTCAAGCAGCAGCGCAAAAGAGCAGATGAGGCTGGCCCAAAAGAACAACGTTGGTTCTTTCATATGATGCAGCAAATCGGCGATGAGATGGAAAATGCTACTGGATTTCTATCTCAACTTGTCTGCGAAAAAGATCCGCCGAAAGTTCTGGATCTTTGTATGGCTCCAGGAGGCTTCTCCGCTATGATACGACAACGTCTTCCCACGGCCGAAATTCACGGCATCAGTCTTCCACATTCGAAGGGTGGTCATAAGCTCCTTTTCGGTCATTCTGACCCTCGAATTCGTATTCTTTTCACAGATATCACGATGCATTCGTCAGAAATGGGTGCCACTAGCATTCCGCCTGATCACCCCGAGGCGGCTGCTTTCATACAATCACGACCCTATCTATCCGAGGCCTTTGACCTAGCAATTTGCGACGGCCAAGTACTCCGTAACCATCCTCGGCAGTCATATCGTGAGCAAGTCGAAGCTTCCCGACTTATACTAAGCCAATTGGTTTTCTCGTTACAGCGAATCAAGCCTGGAGGGACTATTGTCATACTCCTCCACAAGTTGGACAGTTGGGATAGCCTTGAACTACTTTACACGTTCAGCAAGTTTGCCCAAATCCAACTTTTCAAACCGGAAAAGAAGCATGCCATGAGGTCTTCGTTCTACCTCATAGCTAAAGGGATGGATCCGTATGCGCCCTCTGCCTTGAGCGCAGTGGAATCCTGGAAAGAAGCTTGGTCATGCGTGACCTTCCGTTTCTGTAGAGAGATATTCCCTTCCGAACAGATGGTAAAAACCATGCTAGCTCAATTTGGAGAAAGGCTCATAGAGCTTGGGCTGCCACTCTGGAACATTCAGGCCAAAGCTCTTCGAAGATTGGGGTTTTTAAAACAAAAAGCCAAATAAGCACCGCGATTGTCCCTTGGCCCATTAGAACCTGGCAAAAATCGTGGGCTTAAGCTGCATAAGCAGTTAGCTTTGTGTCTTTTGTTATTAAAAGTATTTTATCAACTATCAGCACTTACGTACCACATATCTACTATCCTTTTCCGTTGTGACTACAATACCCCTATCTTCCCTGAAAACGTAGTTTCTTTCAATTATAAGTAACAAAATATACTCCTCAAACCACTTCTTTTGCTCTTCCACGGCTTCTTGTTGGAGCCTAGTTTCTTCTGCCTTTTCCTGTTAGTTTTTGAGCCTCTCCAGCTCCTGGAGTTCCTTCTGTGCCTGCCCTAGCCTTTTTGTCTTGATTCTGGTCGATGCCATTCTCTGTATTGACTCATTCTCCATATGCATCTTCTCTTCATCTGTTAGCTTAGGCTGTCCTGTGAGGGATGCCCACCAACTGTTTTGCTGCGATATTTTATCCCTGTCTTTTTTGTCCTGCTTAGCGTGAGCTTGAATCTCTGACTTCAACTTCTCTACAGTCCTACGGATCTTCAAAATTTTGTCATCTTGTATCCTTTCCCAGCGGAGATAATCATCGCGTTTCCGCTTAGATGCCTCAGCTCCCTCCGTTGTCGGTTGTTCCTGTGGTTTACTAGAATTGGCACTGCCATTCTTCCCAGCGGCCGAAGACTTAGACGAGCTGTTACCCCCAGTATTGTTGCGCACATCTGCCGTAGTGGCGGAACGGGTCGTATGTCGAGTCGAGTCATATTTCTTCCGTTTGGCCTCGTCGGAAAGTATCTCCCAAGCAGATACAATCTAAAAGCTCTAATCAGTACAATTGATGTTATATTTAAGACCAGTGATTCCCTTAAAAGGTATTACGCATTGAAATTGCTTGGTGGCGTCCGCTCTGTTCTGGTTTTTGTCCGGGTGGTGCACTAAGGCGAGTCGCCTGTACGATTTCCTGATCTCTGTAAGGCTCGCCGGTACGGCCACTTCGAGCGTTGCGTAATGGTCAAGCGAGTTAGAAGTTGCCATAGCTGTAGATAGACTTAATAGCCATAGGTTCAAGTACGGAAGTAAAATCTTGCGACATGATCACAAGGTCTAAAAGCTATTTTCCACTATGCAAGGGAGCAAATATAGAATGCGGGGTAATACATAGCAAAGTTGCATTGAGAATCCGCTGCGTTGCAGCGCGCGACCGCGGCAGGAACACCAACTGCAGTGAACGCGACAGCAGCAGTAGTAGCCGCGAAAGCGACCCAAAAACCCGCGTAGCATTCGAGCCACCCGATAGCAGCGAAACCAAGTTTTTAAGAATTGCATCGTAGTGACCCGGAGATTTTTTTGGGTGCGAGACGAGTGGCCAACCGGCGGTTTATAATGCTCTCTACTGTTTTCCGACCTAAACCATTTGCTGGAAAGGTACGAAATTACTCTAATCTCCTTTATAAAACTACTTTCAGGTTTCTAGGCCTATCTTTTCAACTCTCTTCCAACAGCTTCTCTTAAAACCATCTGCGCCCCATGCCAATACCGCTACAATCACGCGTACCAAGTCTTCGGTAATTTTCGCGCCATGGCGAGAGCAGATATCGTACGTCGCAAGCTTCGTCATCCCGTAAGTACCGTAGACCGCAGCCGGGCTCGTTGACAGAATAGGGAATACAGGATCCGGCGGAGTTGCTACGGAACAAGGACCGGGTATGGATGTCCAGAAGTGCGCCCACAATTCGTGTATAGAGCACTGTGTCGCGACAGAGAACGTCACAAATGGAGAGGGATTTGAGGTGGACTGATCTGATGCGGGGTGGATCTCGGATGCGTCGAGATTGCCGCCAGCAACACCACACTTCGCAACACCATGCTCAGGAACACCAGGCTCTCTGGTCTCGCTGCTTGGCGGGACGGACGTCGCAGTTTCATGGCAGGGTGGATCGGTTGCAGCATCGGCACCTGTCGTTGCATTGCTTCGTGTCTCAGAACCTGCAGCCTTGGTGTTTGGAGCATCACCAATTGGCGTATCAGAGTTCGAGTCGACGAGCTGCTGTAGCTTCCTTAAAATGTTGATTGCGCAAGCGCCGCTCACCGACGCTTGATTTTGGGCCTGATACAACGTGCCCTGGGTGGCCGCAGTCTTCGCTTCGATGACGAAGAAGGGGAAGACGCCGCCCTGGCCCTGCGGGTCGCTAATCAGCTGCTGACCGACCTGCAGCGCCTCCAGTGTCTGGCTTATCGCCAAGTCGGCAGGTGTGCACACAAGTGACACTGAAGTATCCGGGCGAGGCGTCTTAATGTCGAACCTGATCGGTGCGGGCGGCTGTGGTGTGCTTTTTGGGGCCGAGCCATCCGGCGAAGGTAGTTGGCGTTTCGAGGGAATTAAGAGAGGGACCTTGTAGATCTTGGTCGGAGGCTTAAGGCCTTCGTTCCAATCTTCTCGCGGTTAGCAGCTGAATTGTACAAGCCCATGGCTATTCATACCTGTGCCCTGGTGCAGCTGGAGTTCGCCAGGGTGGAAAGTTTGCGCGATGTCTCGCACGAGATTGTGGACGAGAGTGGACCATTCAGTCTCACGCACCGGCCGGTGATCCAAATCGCGTGATTCGCGATGGTATCGTGCTGCGATGGCCTGGATGCGCTGCTCGTTGGCAGTGGCTTCAGCTTCACGTCCAGCCTTGCCGACGGCACCATCAATGATTGCCTGCAAGTGCTGCGGCACAGCATCCCAATCTGTGCCCACCTCGATGCTGGCTTTGTGGAGATGCTGACTGCGATAGATCCAGTCGCTGACAGACTTTCCAGGACTCGAGGAACGCGACCGGCGGGTGGAGCTGCGCTGGGTCGACGGTCGCAATGTCGGCGTGGCAATGCCCTCGGACTCGATGTCGTGGTTGGACATGCTTGGGACTCCTTCTCCTTCGCTTGCGACTTCTTCCTGCCACAGCCGTATGGCGTTGTCGGAGTCATAGTAGAAGGGACTGGGCGGCTGGTGCTGTGTCTTTGGGCGCTTCGAAGGCGGAGAGGCCGGAGCAGGGGTGTGCGCCGGTGTGGGTGCATGCAGCTCACACTTGCCGCCATCGGTTTCCAGCTGCTGCAATGTGCGCTTCATTGTGTAGCAGAGCGATGGATGATGGGGACGCTACTCGATGGGCGTGATGCGGCGGGTGGCGCCGTCGGGGATGGGACGAGATGCCGAGGCGTTTGTGCCCTCTGTTAAGGCTTACGTAAATTTGGAAGGCTTTGGTCGGAGAATCAGGCCTGGAGAGTTTACTGCATTTAAATCTTGAAAAGCAAGCCTTAATGCAGAAGGAAAGAGGGGGAAGTTTTGGTTGTTGATCTGCGAGAGCGGGTTGCGGGGTTGCGGCCCGCCCCGTGACGATCCCTCCTCCACCTACTGTATGCTAAATATACAATTCGGCGTCAGTGGTCAGTGCCCGGGTCCAACTTCCTCACGGTCCCAAGCACGAGGCAACCACTCAGTCAGCTCAGCTTCCACTTTGTCTGCGTCATCTTTCATGGACAGCAGATAAGGTCGCATTTTATTCAGCTTCGCTTTCAGTGAGAACCAAAGGTTTTCCTGCGGGTTGAGGTCTGGCGAGTACGGAGGCAATTCGAACCTGGAGATGCCACGGTCGGCGAGCCACGCTTTGACACGCTTCGCTGTATGAATGGAAGAATTGTTATGCACGAATTGCATGTCAGGATCCAGCGTTCTCTCTAGCATCTGCTCAAGGACTTTGATGTAACTTTTTGAAGAAACACCGATCTTTTTGGACTCGGGATCTCTCTCCAATGGGATACACTCAGACAGACCGTACTGGACTGAAAAGCCAGCCCAAACCATGCAGCGAGCATATTTTCCAAGTGTATGGGAATGGACATTCTTCTTAAGATACTTGTCGGTTGCCGCCACTGCGAACCTTTTGGACAGTAGTCGGTTTTTATCTTCGCAGAAGGGAACGCTACAACCAGCGCTCCTAGGGACAAAAATCCGGTACCAAACGAACCGGCATAGCCAACCTACTTACCCTCCCAACTTGCACTAGGCCGCAGGCCTTGGTTGTTGCGCTGCAACGGGAAAACAAACTAGCTTTACCCCCGGCCTGGAGGGAAAATTTTTCGGTGTTCCTTGCCAAGAATAAATCCTCACCCCCGGACTACCCGGAACAATAACCTAGAGGCTGATCCTAATATCTACCTAGCCAATCTCAAGATGGAAACCCGCCCCCCTGATATCCGGGAGGACTCCTTCACGCCCCCCCTAACCCGCTCAAGGGTTATCCTATCCTCCCCAATCCTAACGGACGAAGATACGGACATGGAACAAGAAATAAACCCGACCCAGCCCCAGTTTATAGGGGAAGACCCGCCAATGGAAACTACTCCTACCCCAGAGACTATCCGTCGAAACGGGAAATCCCCAACGGTTATCCCCACCCCTATCCACGGCAAGCGCCAGCGGGAGAATATCTTCGCCTTCCTAGCTACGCCAGATAAAAACATTAAAAGGACCCGCTATCCTAGCAACCTTCCCGCTCCCAAAACCTCTACTGAATAGCTCCAAGCCTCACTAGACTACCTTCTAAAGGCAGCTAACGCGGAACAAGATACCGACAAAACAGAAAGCCTCCTCGACCTTCTCTCTATTTTCAGAGACTACACGAAGACCGGAAAAATAGACTATTCTAAGTCTATTCTTGCTACGCAAGTAAAAGCCCTTGAAAATACCTCCCGAGTACTCCAGACAAACGTACGAAAACTAGGAACGCCCCCTCCTATAATCACCCCGACCCTACCTAGCCAAAACCCCACCCATAGAAACCCCCAAAGCTACGCTTCCGCAGCTACAAGGAACCTCCCCTCAGACCAAACCGGATTCAATCTTGTTACCAATAGGAAAAAGCCCGGAACTACCTCTCCGCCCGCTCCTAAGCCTACTCTCAAAGAACACCAAATCTCTTTTCCTAACCCAGGATTAGACAAGTTCTTTGGCCTACTCGACACAAGAACTAGGCTGAATAAAGCCTTCGAAACAGCTGGATACCGGGGGAAAACCGTTATCTCAGGCGTTCGTCTCTCCCAAAATAATAACATTGTTATAACGGGAAACCACGGATTCCCTGCGTCTTTTCTACTGGATAAGATCGATATAATCCGGAAAATCTTCCCGCAATGTCAGGCTAAAACAAACGAAACCTAGTATAAAGCGGCGATCCACGGCATTCCCACCCAGGAACTAAACGACCTCGATATCTCAGACTTTATAAAGATTGAGATCTCTACCTTCTCGAACGGACTTCAAACCGTAGGCAAACCCTACTGGCTAACTTCTAAACAGAAGAGAGAAAACCAGCTTGCAGGATCTATTGCGGTAGCTTTCCGCACCGAAAAAGACCGCAAACTAGCTATCTCCCAGCGCCTATATATAGC